AAAAGTAATTAAAGGAAAGTACAAAAGAAAACAGAACAGAGTAATTCTATTCTCTTCATATTAATAACGATTATCTTGTCGATCGATAGTTCATCTGGAGAGCAAATATCACAGGAGAGCCAGTGTCGTTGGGAGCAAGTATCGCGAGAGCAAATGTCGTTGGGGAGCAAGTGTCGCGAGAGCAAATGTCCGGAGAGCAAGTGTCGCGAGAGCAATTGTCTCGGATGCACCTTTCATGGATTCGTTGACAACACGTTCTCGTCATCGCTGTCACTTTCTTCGCTTTTGTCTGTCGTCGAGTTCTCATCATCATCAACACTCTTCGTCACATCATCTGTCTGATCTTCGCTTTCAGAACTGCCGACTGTTTGCGAATTGTCTTTGAGTCGTGAAGTGAATGTGAAGTGTAAACGTAAGTAAACCTAGCAGCGGATTCGAGTATTTCTTCTTAACATTCGTCCACGAGCTTGTGTAAACTCTCTCTTTGCTTGTGTAACATGCAGAATACAATTCTCTATCGAATGGTGGTGTTTATGATGGGGATCATCGAGCGAAAAATGGGGTTCAACCCTTAAATACTGATTCTGTACCTAGGTTTTCGAGGTATTTCTTGTTAATATGCGACCATGGGCGGAAGTTCGCGCATGGCACAATGTTTAGATTGTGTTGGAATGTTATTCAGTGTTTTTACTATGTTTCTATTGTTTATCATTGAATGAAATTTACTTAATGAAGTGTTTTTCGAACTCGATGAGCATTACTAAAATAGATCTGATTGGTCGCGCCGACTATAACAAAAATAAGAGAAAAATAAATATGTAGACAGTGTTGGCAAAAAATGAGAGATGATACAATGATTTGATAACAGTTGAGAAGGTGACATTCTTACTGTACGCTTAAAAAATTAAATAAGTGTTTCTGTCAATACTATCAAACGATTAGAAATGTGTTTATATTTATCAAGCATCAATTAAACCTTCAAAGTGTAGATGGCCAAGTCTACTCGTAGACGACCGTCATGAATGAAACAGCCTGAAGGATGCATGTCGTTAAAGCGATAATAGGTGTTGTTGCCTGCTTTGATAATGGCGGTAAAATGCTCGTTGGTATTGTTAATACCAGCAGAAAGGCAATATCTATGCGTAAAATAGATTGAAAAGCGTGTCGAAAAAAGGGGGACAACTTACATATATTCGTCGATATATAGAGGGTCTGGTAGTACTGTCATCAGTGATGTCTCATTCTCGACGTTGACGATGACGAATGGTGCTATATAAGTCAATCGTGTTGTCGCAACTATGCGGGTCGCGTAGCAAATATGACGTGTTCTAAATTTCAAAGTTCATTTCTTTTTTTAAGGGTGAAAATGGAATGATATCTTACTCTAATCGTGTCTCATTGGTTTCTTGATCAATGACCGGATATCGTTCGTCGACCATGTTAGTTGCTGGATAACCCAACGGTTCAACGGAGCCAAGATTAACACCACATGGAGGTTCACGATCAGCGACGAAAGCTGGTATGAAGTGTAGAAACTTTTTATTAACTTTCCTATACATACAATGTATCAATCAATTAATCAATCACATTTAAGTTACAGACGAAAAATAATTTCTCAACACCACGTAACTCTATTGTATGCGTCATCTGCTGAGATATGCTACCGTAAAATAGCAGTGTGCTGATCACTGTACTGTTCTTCGTCAATGCGAGTGTGTATATCTCTAGCACTTTCGTGCTGCCGATCATCTTCTAGACACTAATCAATTAACCACACATCATACACTCTTGTCTATTTTCTCTCCTTCCTACATGAGTTTCTCCATCGCCTTGTTGTTTGCTCATTTCTTTATGTGACCATATATGAGTGAATTGCAAGCCATTTGTACCGTTTAGGTCACATTTTTTAAAAAAAATGAAAGTTTAAAAGAAAAACTTTTGAAGAGTGAAATTAAGATATGGGTTATCAGGCAAGTGGAAAATGAT